CATCGTCAAACGCTACCGTATGATCCGGCAAGAACCACGGATCGATAAGTCAGAGAGGACCATTTAGTACTCCACAAGCTTGGAAATTTTACTGCACGTGAGTTGTTGTAGGTAACGCATCTACATGAAGTCGTTTCCTCAGAAGTACTTTTGCTAGCAGTGTTTTTGTGAAGCATTTTTAAGGTTCATTTCAGGAAGGCTTTCTAGCCAAAATGGTCCATGAGATTTGCTTAACACATCATTTTAGTCTCTGAGATTGAAAATCAATAGAAATGGTCTCTGAGATTGTCTACCATCCATTATTTTGGTCCTTCTATTAAAAACTCTGTTAAATGTCCTGAAGCTCTTGGCCGAAAGTTTGGGTAATTTTCAATACTTCGTAACTCAATCATTTTTTTAACCAAATTCGACCCATAATATATCAAAATGAAGATAGAAAAATGTAGAACAAGATTATACCTATTTGGAAGCCCAATGGTTGCTGGAGATGGCCGAAAAATAGCCTGAAAAGTGATTGGTTCTCGGGAAAACTGAAAAACTCGCGGGAAACTGGATAAACTTTAAATGTTCATAACTTCTTCAATACTCAACGAAATCAAGTGATTTACAATGAAAATCATACTTCTCGACGAGACGAAGAGAATGGTACCTTTCTCAACGGCTAAATCGTTGTGGTTTGGCCGAAAAACGGCTCGAAAGTTGATGTCTTGGTCTCAAGTTAGCCACTTTCGAACCGTTTTCCGGCCAAACCACAACGAATTATCCATCAAAAAAGGTACCATTCTCTTTTTCTCGTTAAGAAGTATAATTTTTGTTTTTGAATCACTCTATTTCGTTGAGTATTGAAGAAGTTATGAACGTTTAAAGTTTACCTAGTTTCCGGCGAGTTTTTCAGTTTCCCCGCGGACCAATCACTTTTCAGGCTATTTTCCGGCCATCTCTGACAACAATTAGGCTTCCAAATAGGTATAATCTTATTCTACAGTTTCCTATCTTCATTTTGATATATTATGGGTTGAATTTGGTTAAGAAACGATTGAGTTACGAAGCTTGAAAATTGTCCAAACTTCAGGCCAAGAGCTTCGGGACACTTAACGAAGTTTTTAATGGAATGACCAAAATAATGGATGGTGGACAATCTCAGGGACTAAAGTGATGTGTTATGCAATTCTTAGGGACCATTTTGGCTAAAAAGCCTTTCAGGAATTGCTAAAATGTTAAGAGCCTATTTGGTATGCAATTTGAATCTAATTTTTTTAACTCAAAAATAGTTTTTGAGTCTCCAATCAATAATTCTTGTTTGGTAGAACTATTTTTAAAAAGTCAACTCAAAACTAACTTGAAAAATTAGTTTACTGTTGCACTTCGAATAATGGCCTATGGCTCCCCAGCTGATTCGATGGATGAAACCCATGGTATGTCTGAGTCTACATGCCTTGATACTCTTCAACAATTCTGTTACACAATTGTTCAGGTTCACAAAGACGAGTACCTCCGCGAGCCAAATCAAGAAGATATGAATTGGCTTCTTCGCAAAGCTGAAGACCATGAGTTTCCGAGCATGATAGGGTCATTAGACTGCATGCATTGGGATTGGAAGAACTGTCCCACCGGATGGCAAGGAGGCTTTAGCGGAAGGTCGAGAAAGCCAACTGTTGTGTTAGAAGCGGTTGCCTCATATGACACATGGATTTGGCATGCTTTCTTTGGAGTCCCTGGATCCCAAAATGACATTACAGTTCTTGGGCGTTCACCCCTCTTCAATAACTTGACGGAAGGTAAAGCACCTCAAGTTCACTACTACATCAACAACTATCAATACAATATGGGGTATTACTTGGTAGATGACATCTACCCAAAGTGGGCGACACTTGTCCAAGCAATTCCAAACCCTAGGAATGACGCAGAAAAGTTGTTTACCTTACACTAAGAGGCATACCGGAAAGATGTTGAGAGAGCTTTTGGTATTCTACAAGCACGGTGGAAAATTATTAGCGAACCGGCAAGAGGGTGGAGTCGAGAAAATTTGGACTCCATCATGATGTCTTGCATCATATTACACAATATGATAGTGGAGGATGAGCGAGATGAGTATATTGATGGAGAGTCCGATGACGACCAAGAAGATCCAAATAGGTCAAGAAGGGCTCGTGCAAAAATATATGATGGGCCTAATTTGCCTTTCAATCCAAGAACTGGTAGTATCTCTATGAATGAGTACATGAGGCGCTATAGAATGAAACGTTCTCGTGCCACAAACAAGTACCTACAACATGATCTTGTTGCACATCTTTGGGCCAAAAAAAGCATGGAGTAGGCGTTTAAGTTTTATGTTATTAAATGTTTTTTAAAATGTTGTTTAAGTTTCATGTTGTTAAATGTTTTTTTTTTATGTTGTATAATTTGTATGTTGGTTAATGCTATTTAATGTTATTTCATATTGTTTAATGTTGTTTCATGTTACTTAATTTAATTTAATGTTGTATAATGGCTTAGGAAGTTATAGGAAAAAAATATAATTTAAAAAAAATATGAAACAAATTTTGTGAAATAGAAGTTATAGGATAAAAATAGAATTTAAAATAAAATAAAGCAACTATGTGAAATAGAAGTTATAGGAAAAAATGGAATTTAAAAAAAAATGAAACAAATTTTGTAAAATAAAAGTTATAGGAAAAAATAGAATTTAAAAAAAAATTAAAAATAGAAGTTATAGGAAAAAATTTGTAAATAAAAAATAATAATAAAACTAAAAAAAAAAAATTCAAATGCAACGGCTAGCTGACGTCAGCTAGCTGTTACATTTGAATTTTTTTTTTCTTAAGCATTCATGTCGGTTAAAACTGACAGGATTCCCAGTATGCCAGCCCCGGGCTGGCTGGAGCCAGCCTTCCAGCCCTCTATCCCTCTCCGATTCTGTGGGGCCCTCTCAGATTCTAGAGCCCTCTGGCCTAGCCCTCGGTTGGAGACAGCTTTCGGGCTATTTTTGATCCTCTGACTCTCTGGACCCTTCGGTTGGAGATGGCCTTACTTGCTGCTGGGTTCCCCAATTTATTTGGGGTCCTTTATCTTATGCATCTGTTGCTTTTCATCAATGACATATTTCGTTAAAAAAAAAAAAGAAAAAAAAAAAAAAGAGTGTTATTGTACCTAACTATTATTGCCTCGGATATTAACATTTGATAAGTGAGATTTATTTTTCTTACTGCAAATTCTCTCCCGTTAACACCTGTTTACACTAAATAACATCATTTCTTCTGAAAAGAGCTCATAAATTGTCATCAACTCCTAGTCCTAGCCGTGCCTGCATATGATACAACATTTCAGAACCGAAACCTCTCTGCCGCTTCCAATTAAACAACATTCAGAAGCTTGACATGATCTCTCTCTGCATTGCTACAGCCATTGTAATTGGGTGCCCAGCCTGCCTTCGATGAAGGGTGAACTGAGGAGTTACTGTCAAAGGAGTAATTGTCCTCTGCATGCAGTAAAAGATTTCAAGTATTTGAGTTCCTATGTAAATGCAATCCCAAAAGCAAAAGCTACCTCCTTTCAAAACATTTAATAAGATACTCATTCAATTTCTTCACATCATAATTTCAGACAAGTGTCCTGGAGGGGTAGGAAGGATTCATTTATGAGGTGCATGTGCCACATTGCCTTCAAAAGCTGTACAGATGTTTCAGTAAGGGTATCGTGTTCCCAATAGAAAGGTAGATGCACACTCCTAAAGCTCACAGCTAATTACTATTTTGGGGAAGGAAGGAGAGGAGCATAGTTTTGTGTGGCGTAAGATCGTCACGTAATTTTATCAATTCATTTTAAAGTATAAATGCGTCATGAGTATATATTTATGTTGTAATTACGATAAATTTGTAACATTATGTGATTGAAGATTGAAGAGGGAGGAGTAAATTTTTGTGTGGCCGTTAACATCAACATGTAGTTTTACCAGTTTCAACCTAAAGCATAAGCGCTTCATTTTCATTAGCAAATTGTAATTTTGATAAATTAGTAACACAATGCGGTTAAAGAAGGAAGATTCGACTTTTAGTGTGAGTCGTGATCATAAAGATTTCACTCGGTTATGCTAAAGCATAAACTCATCTAAACACATCGTTAACACCGGCAGACAGTTCAACCTAAAGCATAAACGCTTCATTAGCACGTGTTGTAATTTTAATGAATTAGTAACATGATGTGATTGAAGAGAGAGAATTTAACTTTTGGTGTGAGTCATGATCATAACGTTGCCAAACGGTGCTACGAGTTCACCTAAAACATGAATACTTTTACACGTTAATATTACATGACAGTATTACGGACACAAACAATAATATGTATGGAGAGAGTGAGAGAGAGAGAGAAACGAGTCCCTGACCTTATCTTGAATGTTAGCTGCTTAATGCAGAAGAGTAAGCACCAACCAAAGAGTGAGGGATAGAAAAGACACAAAACAAATTTGGGCTGGACAGTGAATTTATGTCATGCAATGCAATCCTTCTTTATTTTTGTCCTCTGGTTTTGGACTAACCTTGACATAAACTTTCCGACAAGGACCACTTGATGCCCTTCTCATATGGTCCCTCCCATTTAACAATTAGATGGAATCGAAGTTTTCATTAATTTTTAATCTGTTAGTTAATTTTTCATTAATTACTGTACCAATAGTGCTAGTTCTATTATTTCAGGGTTATTTTTGTTATATTCTGCATTCCCAAGAACTATTTTTTCACACTTTGGGGTTAGAGATTATCACTCATTTGGATGTTATTAACTTTGATGCAGGCAAGAGCAAGCACACTATTCAATAATTTAATGACTATGATAAACCTTTTTTTTTTTTTAAAGACTACAAATTACGCTCATATTTTGGGCTGGATATAGTCAAGTTGATTAGAATAATGTATTCTCGCTTCTGCATCTAAATTCAATTTTCCTACCCAATAGTTCAGAATTCAGATTGAATTAGAATATTGCTTGAATAAAAAAACAACAGATTAACTAAGGAATAATTTTTCACTCAAAAGCACATTTTTTTATATGCTCCAACTTTCCAAACACCAACTGAAGAGAACAGATTTACTGAGCTATTTTTTCCTCCTCCTCCAAAAGAAAAAAAGATGAAAAGAATCTTCAAGGTTTGCAGATGACCAGAAAGCAGGGAAGGAGAGCTCTAGGATTTAGCAGATAAAGCTCTTCAATGTTAGAATAAAGCCCCATTTTTCCAGCCAATGAATCAAACCCTGTTTGCCCAGCAATTTCCTGAATATTTTCCAATGGCTTATGCACTCTCCCAGCAATTACTCTGCACACTATCAAAGCCTTCCTTAGAGTTGCATCTTCCTCCAATATTTGAATTGCTTCAAAAGCTCTTCCACTTGTAGATGTTGTAAAAACACCAACACCTTCCTTGAGCTCCTTTTTCGCAGAGAACCCGTTACGTATGATCCTACAAACGCTGCATTTCTCCAACGCGCAAAGGCTCGAGGATCCATTTAGGCCGAGACAGCAGGCCACAGTGGTGCCATAAAACCTCAAGAGCTCATTCCCATCAGCAATGCACCTAGGGTGCTTCTTGGGCAGCTTGCTGGCTTTGGTCTTCACCATCTCTCGATACTCTTCAAATCGCGCTAGGGTCCTTTGCATGTTGTGGACTTTGAGCACTCTCTCAATGCGGCCGCAGTGGTTCTCGGATTTTAACCAACTTGTCCGGCATATTATCTCCACGATTTTTCGAGATGAGTCACCTTCCACGAGCTCAGTAACTGCCAAATATATATAGGGATCGTGTGAGTGGGAAATCTACCCTAAAATCTGAAGTGAAAAGCACTTAAGCAAGCAATTGATGAATCAAAAGATTAGTTTATAAAGAATCATTAACCATTTTGGAAATGAAAACAATCCCCATGGTATAGCAAACCAAAAGATGCACTTGAATCCAAAATCCAGTTTCTGCTAGATTCATTAAACAATGTCTGCTCTAATTTTAAAACTTAAAATATGTAGTAAGGATACATTAATTAAACAAGTTCAGTCTTTTCTGCTGGATTAATTAAACAAAGGTTTGTTCAAAAAAATAAATAAATAAATAAACAAAGGATAAATCTTTGCAAAGGTCCTCTTTCCTCAGTCCGAAAAAAAAGTGCCTATATTTTTGTGGTCATAAAAAATATACTTTGGTCCTTAGAAAAGGAAAAATAATATTTTGGTCAGAAGAAAAATGCATTGGCAAATATTTAGAATCTGTAAACGAAAGTGTTAATATTTCTGTGGTCAGAAGAATTTAGACATGGGTCCTAAGAGGATAAGGAAAGTTGAAACAGACGAAGTAGAAAACACTCAAGAACAACAAAAAGAAAGGGTTGGAATAAATTACAAAAAAGATTAATTTTCAAAAAACTTTGCCCGAAAAATGATAAATTTCATTCAGTTTCAGCAAAAGGGTAATTTCTTACCAGCATGTTTAGAGAGATGGTGAGCTTCAGCAGCATCCCATTTGGTGAAACGCTCTCCACATTTGTGGCAAGTAATTGCAGAAGAGCCGTTAGAATTTTCTGTGTCAAATGAAATCCTATTGCTTTGTCTAATTCCACCAGCACTTCCAGAAATAGCAGAACCCTTAAAGCCAGCAGACCCTTCTGTACTCTCTGCAGAAGCCAGAAAATGGCTTTTTCTTGGAGGAGTTGAGGAAGGCCTAAAAGATGGATTGAAGTAGTGCATTGTAGGGTGCCCACCAGGACCAGGTGTGCCTGGCTTTAGGGTATCCACAAAAGTTGAACCACCACCGACACTGCCACCACCGCTGCCATTGTTGGCATTTCCACCCCCAACTCCGTCCTGGAAGCCACCAAGGCTGGTGGTGATTTTCAGCTCACACCTTGAGTTGCTCAAAATTACTTCATGTGTTATCGGGTTGAGAAACTCACTGCTTCCAATGGATCTTGGGCTGCAATTACTTGGTGGCCTTTCCATATGCCTCTTGCTCCCGTGAATCACATCCTTGAGATTTGCTATGGATCTTGAGCACCCTGATCTTCCTCCTCCTGCTTTTCTAGTCGAGATTGTGCTCAGTTGCTTCCTTCCCCTTGGATCATGAACATCTGATGGCTCCGATTTGCAGTGAAGAGATTTCTTCAGAGAAAACCACACTGTTGGCATTTTTGGATTAATTTGATAATACCCCCTTTTCTGCTTCCTCCAAAAGCACTTTTCAAACCCTTCCACTTTTTTCTTCAAGTTTTCTCCATTGTTTTGAAAAGCAAGCCATCACTCTCCAGTGCCATTAAAAGCTGGAAAATGCAAGCTGGGATGCCAATCACCTTCTCTTGGACTGCAACTTCTATTTGGGCACACGACTCCCTGTCACTCAAACTTTAACTCTTTCCCATTTCCAAACCAACCATCAGTCCAAGAATGAAACACCCACAGATATTATTTAAAATTGAATAAATAAACACTCAAAATATTGTAGGTAATGTTTTTTTTACAGGCTCTCTCTTTCAAATGAAGCATTTTGGAAGTTTCTCCAAAATAGACATGTGGTCTCAAAATCGAGAAGAACTTATTGACATTTATTTACTGTCATATAACGTTAATTATGTATTGCTATGTCTTATATGCAAAGTTTTTTTTTTTTTCACATAGCAATACTTTATATTCAATTAAGACGTCGCTCACAGTAAGCATGTGCATGAAACAGTTATTCACAAAAATTCAAACAAATCTTGGAGCTATTAATTCACCAAACCCTTAGTCAGTAACACTAATAAATGGGGCATCGTTACTGAGGAGGGCACACATGAAAGAAAGAGACACTAAACCCGAAATCTGAATTGGCATTAATTACATGGATTCTTATGAATCTGGTTTCATATCTTTGTTTTTTTTAAATTTAACCTTACTCTCTCACTCTCTCTCGAATACTTGGTCTGAATCTGAAACCATTTGTATTGTTTATTTATTTTTAACAAATGATATTATTTAGTATTTACATTAATGAAATGATGGTAAGCTAAGTCTTACAATAAGTTAACTATAATATGGTTCAAATTCATCTTTGACGAGAATTGAAACATATCACTTACAAGTAAAGAGAAATACTACTAGACCGTAATACTACATAGCTAAACCATTTTCATTGTTGCACGACCACACAAAATTAGAAGGAAAAAATTTGGGAGTTTTAACGAACAACCCGCCGTACTGTTTACTTTAACGAAAAATCATATTTTTACACTAAAAAGTCAATCATGGTATTATTCACTTTACCTTTTATTTTATCCTTATCATTAAAACTCAAAATTTTCAAATATTTTTCATTAGTTTCTTTTAAAAATTTTGAACCATGGAGTCCAAAGCTCAAAGTCCAATTTCTGTCCCCGCGTTTGCCAATTCGCGCGGTAAAATTGAAGGCCTATGTGAATAGTGACTAGTGAGGAGTCTCATTCAACGATTCAGTACATTTTCGTACTTTCCTATGGATCCTTGCACTTTCGTAAAAATGGTGAGTTTTGAATATATTTGCAAAACTAAAAAGGATGATAATTGGTAAAGTTAGATTATTGCTAAAAAGAATTGGTATTTTATACAAGATTCTAAAAGACACTAGATGCTAGTCGGGCGACAAATTGGAGTCTATGTCCTAGGCGGACCAGGCGGATTTAAATAAATATATTATATTATATTTAAATAACTGTCTGCTTATACTTAAAATATATATAATTTCATCATAAACTACAAAATAGAATGACATATATATATATTATAAAGTACTAGAACATAATGAAAACATGAAGAACAAACATATAATGTGCGTTCATTTAAGTATGCAACAAATCTCTTACAATTTATTGAAAAGAAAAAAAAAAACAAAATGCAAAATGAAAGTTATGTATTTTCTGTCTAAGTAAGTCGCGACTTAAGCGGGTGCCTAGGCAGGTCTAAGTGTCATTTCTTAATTTTCAAAAGTCTTTGCATTAATCGGGGCTTAACTAGCCGTCTCGAGCTATGGGGGGTCTAGGTGGCACTAAACAGGTAGAACAATGATTTTATATCACAAATTGATATATGGGATGCACTAATGTTTGAACACTAAGTTGTGATTGTCACATAATATACGATTATCTACTTTTGTTTTGGTGATTATATCGTGTTCATGTCTAAAACAATGTGGTTTTGAGTTTTTAATAGTTTCGGCGTTAATGTCTAGCCGTTGACGTAGTTCACTAAATTGTATATAATGATTACTTACAAATAAAAATGAATAAAATGTTACTTTCATTTGCATGTAAGCATGAATATTCGAAGAACAAAATTAAAAAGCCGTTGAATAACAATTTTATTTTACATGAAAACTGAAAATTTGAAATTATTATCAAATGAGCTCATAACAATCCTCATATCTATTATATATAAAGCGAGAAGAAAATGTGAATAGTGTTTTGGTGTCACCAAGTTTCAACAAAAAGAATTGGACAAAAATGCCTCCAAAACAAAAAACTTCAAAAGCATCCCAAAATAATGCATCAAATAGGGTAGGGGCATTTTCGTTATTTTAAAAGTATTTTTTTTAATAATTAAATTATTTTGTGGTTTTTTTTTTTTTAATTAATACCTCATAATAGGCTAGTAATAATTTGATTCAATTTATCTATTTCTAAACATGTTCAAAATATCTTAAGAGACGTGTAATGCCGGTTATTAAAAAAGATCATTCACACATGGATAATAACGTGATTAAATTAGTTATCAAATGATTGTTGTTTTTTTTTGTCACAAACGATATTATCTATACTAAGGGGGAGGGAGATAGGTTCAGCCTCACAATGAGCTAACAATAATGTGATTCAATCAGTTGTTTATTAAATATTATTTTCTCTATTTTAAACACGTTCAAAACATCTTAAGAGATATGTAATGCCGGTTATAAAAAAAAGTCTTTGGCACGCGGATAATAATGTAATTAAATTAGTTGTTAAATGATTATTATTTTTATTTTAACAAACAATATTATCTACACTAAGGGGAATGGGGTAGGCTTAGCCTCATAATGGGCTAGCAATAATGTGATTCAATCAATTGTTTATTAAATATTATTTTCTCTATTCTTAATGTAAATTCTATAGAGACCGGTTTTATTATATGAATTCAACTGTTTTAATTGGTTTATGAGGGGTTTTTTCTAGCATGATCTAAGATTATTCATTTACTTCAAATATTTGACTTTCCTTTTGTCAATTTACACACACACACACACATATATATATATATATATACATTTAAAATGTGTAAGTCACGCATAGCACATCGTGATGCAAAAAATGCCTTATGCACACATGTGAGCGCATGCATGGAGGCTAGTGTGTGTGTGTCTATATGTATATATATATATATATATATATATATATATATATATATGGTGTAAAGAGAATCAGCATTCTCATTCTCTATATACACAGAAGAAACCAATATTTTCCTGCGGGAATTCACAGAAACAAACAGCACAAAGAGAAGAGACAAATGAAGGCTACCGAATTGGTGCGTTGTGGTGCTGATGCTGAAAGAAATAATCGGCCAAATGCATCCAAACCCTTTTTCTTTTCATTTTTTTTGTTTTTCTGGATAAATTGGAACCTAAACTTGATACTTCGATTAGTGAAACCAAACTTAAAAATAAAGGAATACAAACAACAAACAAAGTGTTTTTCTTGGCGAAAGTACCTCAAAAACAACTTGGGGTTTCGCAAAGACAATGATCCTGATTAGCTTTGACCACTAATCTAAAAGGAGGTGAAATGAAAGACTTACATGGAACGGATATGTTGGTATTGATGTTTTGTGTCAACAAAATAATAATATATGTAAATTTTTGTGTCCTTATTTTATTTACACAGAACTTCATGTGACAATGTATTCTTGCTATGTAAATTGTTCTCAGGAAAATGAGACCATGAGCACAAACTTACAAGTTGTTTTGGATGCTAATCTTTAGCCCAATTTTTCCCTTTGTTGCAGCAAGAAAGGTCATTTAAATTTATCCTTTTCAATAAAAAAAAAAAAAAACCCTTTTTCTTAGAATTTGGCATAGAATCTCCTTCAACAAATTAAGTACAAAGGGTCACTTACCTAAACGATCAATTATGATTTACGTTTTACTTAAGATTGTTATTATTGACACTCCTCATGCGCTTGTTTTTATACGACTTTTCTCTCACATTTGTATGAATTTAAATTATAACGTAATTCTTTCGAAATATTAAGAACAAGTCCAGTTACCCAAATATTCTCACACACTTTTGCTAATTTTTGTCCATTAACCTTCTTCAATGCATTCAATCTGCCGACTGATAATTAAAAGGAGTGTGTAGATAGTATCACTCTATTTGTAAATCTCTATTCTCTACAATTCACACTTGTGTTGGGGAAGGGCTTCAACCAGTTTAGTACACCAGTCCTTTAGAAGCCTATTTATAGCAACTTGGAGAACCAAACAACTTGAACTTCGACATATCCTCGACATTTTATTGGGCCAAATTTCAGCGTCACATTGTTAGGTACACACAAATAAGTGGGCTATTACCCCTTCACCAATTTTAATATTATTTTTAAAATATTCAAAAGTAAACAATGTTCTTAACTAAAATGCTAGGAAAATGCAATTTTTGTATTTCATGTTTTAGAATTTTACTATAGAATAAGGATTGGATTCTTGCCTATTAAGATTATGATTAGTTCTTTATAAATAGCGTGTATTGTAACTCAGTTGATACAAGTCTAGCCAGACGTAGTATCTTCGAGTTATGTAACATTCTTAATAATTTTTGTATTTTTTTTCCAGTAATATTCGTAGTCCATTTATTTGTTTGTTTTGTGTACATCGATTCAATCGGTTCTTCTTTTTCTTTCTTCAAACATTATCTTGCTTTTTATTTTTTGGGATCATTTTCTCTTATTTTTATTTTTGATCGGCAAATTTACAATTGCATCAACTTGAAGGGACTGAATACAATACTTAATCTATATTATCAGTGTGTAAGATATTGATACATGTGTAAATATCAATATGCAAACTTATTGAAATATCGATGAATATATCGATGTCAGTTGCTTTACACAGGAATTACGGGAATTTGCAATAGAGTGAGCATATAAACTAATTCAGAGTTAATCAAAATGAGAGAAAATTTTCTCAAAATAAATTTAAAAGTTCAAAATTTGCAATTAGTTCCGACAAAATTTCTGTAGTTGATCGGTAAATTTCATTGATATTCATTGATTTTCCTATATCTTGCCGATATAGGATGAAGTTTGCATTTCACTCACTGTTTCTATACCGATCCTTGATTTTTTGGATATTTCAACAAAAATATCGACAATTTCATAAATATTTTAAACATTGATATTACCAGATGCTTTGTAGGTCAGATCTAAAATTGCCCTTAGATGGATTCGAATACTAATGCAACCTACGCTGCAAATAGGATAGATTAAGAGTGAAAAAGAAACCCAAAAAAATCACAACCCAAAATGGAAAAGAATAATGAGCAGATAGAAC